TGCTCAGGAGTTTCTAAGGGAGCGGCGATACCTCCAGGGGCTGGGAAACTCTGCTCCCTGCTCCAGCAGAGACGGGCTCATCCCAAAGCAGACAGAGCTTCACCTGGGTCCCGGACAGAGGGAGATGCTCCAATTCACACCAGAGCAGAGCGCTCAGGGCAAGAGCAGGGACAAAATGCACAGGGTGTTTATGCAACACCCCCAGAAAAATCAATTTTGCTAAGAGTTGTTGTATCACATAATGAAACACAGGAGTAACTCCTTTTATTCTCTTGTTTGTTATAAAATGCTGAGTTGACACCCAGAGATTACAGGAAAATAGAGACCATTCAAAAAGATCAGGTTATGCAGCTCATCACTTTTCCAGCTGACCTGGCTGCAGCGCCAAATGGGGAGGTGGCAATTCCTGGCCCTCATTAGCTAAAAATAAGGTGCCTGACCAGAGGGAACAGGCTGGTCTCCTCCTGAGGCCTCTGGAGGGAAAGGGAAAAGGGAAAAGAGCTCCGTGACAAATGCTGTACCAGCAGCAGTTGCCACGAGAGTAGGAGCAGGATACCCGGGATGCAGACCCTACGGTTTTACCCAAGGCCGGGAGGGTTGGCAGGTTGGGGATGCTCGTGAGGTTACACCCCACCGCCCACCCTGGGCTGGTGCTCTGCTGGGAGCCGAGCTGAGGACCGGTAAGCAGAAAGAAGAGCCCACTCCTTTGGGATACGCAGGCAAAAAACATGGAAGAGAAATCCACCTTCCAGCGCGACTGCTACCCCCTCCCCTCCGCACCCCCGCGCGGTCTCGGCGCGGTGGAAGCGGGTCTCCCCTCGCCACCATCCACCTTGAATGAGGGCTGGGAAAAACGGTGGTCACGGCAGATTAGCCCTGGGTCCCCGCACCGCTGGAATGGCCTACTTTAACAACACGCCAAATCTCCCGTCTCAGCCCGCTGCGACGCTTACTGGGGTGCGAGCCCAAGCGTTGCCCCTTCCTGACCGCCCCCCCCCCAACCGGGGACCCCTGCAGCGCTGGAAACCAGGATTTGCGCCTTCTTGCACAAGGTCACGGCACCACGCACCCATTGCCTAGGGAGGGTGGGAACGCCGGTGTTTTATAAGCCCAACAAACGCACGGCAGCGGGTTTCTGTGCGACAACCAGGCAGCACTGACCTTGCGGGGAGGAGAGAAAAGGAGCGCCCGGCTCATCAGTCAGCTCATGTATTTTCTGTATCCCTTCGGAGATGGAGCATTAAGCCATTAAATAATAAAATATCAATTGCAGAGCGGCTCCAGCTCCTGCAACGCCCCATAGTGCCGGGAGACACGTCTGGATGCCGTACAGAGCAGATGTGGTCTGGTGCATGCAGGGAGGCTCTGGTGCATGTGATGCGGGCCTGGTGCGTGCAGGGAGGGTCGGGCGAGTGCACTGCAGGGCTGGCGAGCGCGCTGTACGCCCGAGGCGTGCCGTGCGGGTCCGGCGTACGCGGTACGGGTCCGGTGCTTGTGGTGCAGGTTCAGTGTGCGTAATGCGGGGCGATGTGGGTCTGGGACATGAGGTGTGGGTCTGGTGAGCGGGACGTGGGTCCGGT